ATATTGGATTTACATAGTGATTTGCATTACGTTACACTATGTTTATTCTTCTGTTGACTGGCGGATTATCAATTAAAATAACTAGATTACTTTGTTTACCCACCACCTTCTTGCTACTTAAAAGCCCAATATCTTCAAATATAACCTTTTTATTTCCAAAATACTCATATTCATTTTCTATTTTATTTTCTTCTAGTGAGGTGTTTGCATCAGGAGTTAATTCATTATATTTCAATAACACAATCAAATATAACTTTTCCAATTTTAGCATCTCCGAATATAGTTCCAAAGAATATATGATGGCTCCAGGTAGTGATATAGATCAAGTAAAATACTATTATATCTTTTCTTTTGTTTTTGCTAAATAATTATACTCTACATTAATATATGTTTTGTGTTTTCTAGATTTATTTAAAACAACTAAATAACTAGATAAGACTTTAGTTGGTTTTATTTCATTACAATCAAGAGTGCTATATAAAAAACAAATTTTTTTATCAGGTCATTTATGTTATAAGTTGGGTTGAAGGTATTTTTAATATTTTTCAAACATCATTTAGTATATTTATTTTATTCTTTTCTATTTATTTTTTTACCCGAAATAGGAGTTATTTCTATAAATATAGAAAATCTAGTGCTAGTTTTATTTATTATTTTTTTTTTTTAAGCGATTCTGCCTTTATTCATATGAACTGTTATATAATTTATATACAATTTGTACTAAATTCTTATAACCTATAGCTCTATTTCAATAAAAACTTACCAGAGATAATACTTAGTGTGATTTGCTATAACAACTATTTATCTTTCTCAGAATCTCTAACTTTCTAGGGATTTCGTACTATTAACTAATACATCTCTTGGTTATAAGTAGGCTGTTGTATGTCTTGTTAGAAATGCTTATTAGTTTTGTTGAGTTTTAGCTAGTGAGGACCATGCTGGCTTTTTCCCCTGAAATCTAGTCTTTGATTAATTTGTCCTTTTCTTTATTTGCTTTTATTTTTTCTCTTTGCTTCTTGTTTTCAATGTTTCTTTCTCCTAACTATTAACTTGTAGAGATATGTTTTCTTTATCTGCTATTTTTTTCTTTCTGGGCTTTTTTTTTTTTTTTTACTTTTCTTCTTTTTGGTTATGTTGTTTCTTTTCTTCCATTCTGTAACTATCTCATATCTAAAACTCCATATGTGCTTGAAAAACTGGCATTGGAAGTGGTTAAGAATAGTTTGTATGAATTTGCTAGTCTTTTTGTCTCCTCTATAATCTTGTATATGTTCTCATGTCTTTGTCTTGTGATTAGTCCTTTTATTATCTCTTTTCTTGCTATGATTCTTTCCTGTGTATTTTTTTTAAAGATTAGCTCTTGTACCTTCTGTATATTTGTGATTTTTAGCTTTTCATTTTTCTTTGCTGCTTTCTCTACCAAAAGTTTACTTCTTTCTTTTTTGATGATACTTTACAATTTTTGGAGCTCAGGGCATGCTTCTAGGTGGTCTTGTGTTTCTGTTTCTTGCTAGCAAATCTTGCATATGTTGTTTGTGTACAGATCTGCTTTTTTTGTATTCAGAACTTGCATCATTGGGAGCAGGCCATTTAGACACTTTATCTTAAATATCCATTCTTTGTTTTGGCCCATACTTCTGCAGTTCTTTCCTTTTACCTGCTCTATACTCTTCCAGACTTCACCTCATACAACTGCTTCTGTCTTTTGTTCATAATCAATCAATTTATTTATACTTTTTAGATTTTTCTATTCTGTATCCATACTAACTTCTGTTAATTGTATAATAATGCTTTGTGTTATATCATCTACTCTTATGTTTTTTCACTTCAGTTCTGTCACAGCTCGCTTGTTCTAGGGCCACCTCAGGTTAATTACTAATATACTGCAAGTACCTTCTTTCGCAAACTTGTCTGCCACCTCCAATTTACAAGAAAACATGCTTATACTCAATAAGTGTAGAGACTATAATACAGATATAACAGGGAATAGTGAAAAAAGCACTATCTGCACAAAAAAAAGCCAGAAAAAGAATATAGTAAC